ATAAAACTTATAATATCATATAATTTAAAATAAATTTTTTATATTTAAATATTTATAAATTAATTTAAATTTGACTTAAAACTTGATTTGAATTTGACTCAACTCAAATAAATTTAAGTCAAAATTGAGTAGAGTTAAACTCGAGTTGAGTTAAATTGAGTTGAGTTTAAAATTTATATAGCTTGAATCAAGTCGGTTAAAAGATTTTATAAAATAAATTTGACTCAACTCAACTTGAAAAAACGAGTCAAATAGAGTTGATCCTTAAACTTGACTCAACTTGACTCATTCAAAACTTTAGTTATACAGCTTTAATTAGTAAATTTAGTATAATAAGATTTTTTAATATAAAAATATCTGTATCACATTAAAGATTCATTATATTATAAAATTCATTATATTAAAATTTGTTATAAAAGTGTTGACTGTATTTAATAATATATAAAACTAAGTTTTTTTTAACTAATTTTAAAATTTAAAATAAATAAAATTATATTATTATTTAATTTATTGATTTATGATATATTAGCAATTATTATTAATAAATATATAATATAAAAGTTAATTTATCATTTTTAATATTTTGATATCTTATTTACTATATTACAAAGTTTTGAAAAGTTAATAAAAATTATAAAATTACTTATTTGATTAATTTTTGATATTAATTACAATTCTTTTAATTAAATATTATTAATCTTATTATAATTTTTAAGAAATAATAATTTATATAAACAATTCTAATTTATAATAAATACTATTAAATCATATGATAACTAAATAATAAAATATTAAATTTTTATAAAGTAAAACTATTTTTAAAATTCTACTATATTATAATTAATTTATATAAAATCTATAATTTAATTTACATTTATTCTCTTATATTTCATATAATTATTTATTGTTTTTAGATTTATTATATTTTAATTTTTTTTACTTTAAAAATTATATTTATTATATAAAATAAATTATATTTTTTTTTTTCATTAAATAAAATATTTATATTAATATTATTTTTAACACTTTATACTATAAATTCTTATAAATATTTATAATATATATATTTATAAAAGTTAAAAATATATTTTTTATTTATTTTTTGTTAACTAGCTAATAGAATTAGTAAAAAGAATTAATTAAGATTAATGTATTTGTTATAAAATTATGTAATTTAATTAAATTTCCTTTTTTTTAATCTGAATTTTTTTTCAATTCCATTTATGAAGATTAATTCACTTAATAAGATTGTTCTGAATCATTTGATGAATGCTGTCTCTAAAGTCTCTTTAAAGTCTTCTTTAGATGCATTATCATCATTCACTATCATCAGAAATAGTTTGTAATTTAGTATAATTGTATCATTAAAATAAAATAAAGATATTAATAACTTTTTTAAATGATTATTACTATATCATATTAGATATATTAAACTTAAAATAATATTTCAAATATTTGATTCTTTTTTATATACTAATTGGGCTTTTTTTTTTTTTAAAAAAAAAAAAAATAAATAAAAAAAAATATGCAAAAAACAAATTCATTTTTTTTATTTGCATTCATAAATTTTTTGAATTATTTGACTGAAAAAAAAAAAAAAAGGAAATAAAGATTTTATTGTACCATATGATCTTAGAGTTTCTTTTTTTTAAAAAAAAATTTATTAAACTTTCACTAAAAATTAGTTTCTTGAATTCACAGAAAGAATATTATTTTTAATAATAAAAATACCTCTATAATTCGGAAATGTACAATACCAAAGTCCGAAATAATAGAAAAAAAAAAATAAGAAAATAATTTCCAGAAATTTTGACAGCAAAAGTTGTCAATTCTATCAATTTTATCATCAGCAATAAAGCAGAAAGAAATCTTTATTGATATATTTCTTCTTCTATACACAAAAAAAAAAAACGCTTCCGAGTTTGGAAAATAATGGTGCAAATAAAAAATCTGAAATGAAAAATGCATAAATATATAATAATGTATTGTGTTTTTCTTTTATTATGAACTTGCACAGTAACCAAAACGATCGTGTGATGATAATTATTGGTTAACAGTTTTTTGTGCCCAAATCCTATTAGAGATCATTTCGCATTTTGTACGATTTACTTCCTCGAACGCATCCTCTATCAACTTGTTATATTCTTCTATGCTGAATCCTGAATCTTTGCTCAACGTTTCTGAAGTTAGTTTACTTGTAGCAAGAGATTTTATAATATCAGCATGTATAACACCAGCATGTCCACCATTTTTACCAAGAGTATAATGTTTTAAATCCTTATGAACATTACAGATATTTTGATGAGATTGTAACATTGAAGGTAAACGTGGTGTTATATTCATATCTACTCCTCGTATTGACGCTGAAAGAAAAACTAACAAAAAAAAAAAAATCTTTAAAAAAAAATAACTTACGTGCATCAAGAAATTCGTTAAATTTAGGTCCAATATCTTTTCTCGACGTAGATGATTCAAATAGTTCAATATATCCACCAGGTTTTGTTATTCTAACCAATTCAGATATTACGAAATCCCATTTGTCTGATTCGAGTGTGTGCATCATATTTTCTTGATGAACAAAATAAAATTCATCATTGTTGTAAGGTAACCCATTTAGTATATCTGCTTGTACGAATACCAAATTTTTCGGTTTTATCTTAATCGAGTATTAAAAAAAAAAAAAAAAAAAAAAAAAAAAAATGAAACGGTTAATTTTCTTTTAAATATAAATATTAAAAGAAGTAAAAAAAAATGTTTCATACCTCACTTGGAAATTCAAATTCTAAATCAATTCCAATGAAACAACTTTCCATATAATTCCCGGCGACATCTAATAGCCATGTTCCTGGACCGCATCTGATAACAAGAAGAAATTGGTGACATAAAATTAAAAATTAATCAAAAATGAAACATTTTATAACCAAATACTTACGCAACATCTATAACTTTTGCTCTATAGGTGAAGAAAAGTTACTTGTATATAAATATCGAGTTAAAAAATGAGCGGTATGCAATCTATCAACATCTTCATTATCATTAGGCAAATAATATTTTCGTTCTTTATTAATTTCCTGTTCGTTATTGTTATCTTCATTATTATTACCAAGTTCTTTGTATTGTTTATTTTTTGAAAGATGAATTCCCATATTTAACAGAACAAATCAAAAAAAAGAGGGATTTAACGAAAACGGTTTTTTTTTTAAAAAAATAAAAGGAGGGAAACATATAAAATATATAAATAGAATTTTTGTTCACATACACAATCAAAAAAACTTTATAAACGAAATTTGTTTTCGCATTTACAAATTTGAATATAGAAAAAAGATGAAAATTGATGTGATCACCTCAATAAAGAAGCGGAGACTCCAACATATATCCAATTAATTTTTCGTAAAAGCATGAATTTATTTTTTATGGGTCTTCTTGATAAAAATAATTGATTGCAACATAAAATATGCATACAAAATGCTTCTGAAGCTTTTGTTTCTAATATTATACAGTAATTAAATGACTAACTATTATCGGTTAATTATATTTCCCTTAATAATTTTTACCCCTTATCAATTATAAAAATAAAAACCTTTTTAAAATATATCTTTTGATTGCCAAGAGCTTATTGTACATACCAATGTCGTACACGATGAAACTTGAACGAAATTTTCAAAGTCTTTCCATTCTGATTCTTTGTTGTTTTTTCTTTTACAAGGTACAAACTCCTCGTATTTTAATTGTTTGATTTTAATAGATTCATTAGAGTTAATTTTTCTCTCATATTATTAAAACGAATTTTTTGATTCTTTTGTCCAACGATAATGCGATGTGTCATATGTCATCAGACAATTATTAATTGTAAACAATTGCACTGCATTTCACATAATAAAGATTTATATGGTTAGGATATTTAAGATGTCATTTAAGGTGTCACATATCACATATCACATATTCATCCAACAATTAGATTTAAAAAAATTTACTTTTAGAAGAAAGCAAGCCGTGCCAAAATTTCTCGTTCGTTGGATTTTGTTAGGGTTAGAGTTTATTGGTTAGGATGTTGAACAATGAATTAACACAATGATCATGAAACTCTTTCCAAATTAGCTATTATGATATAATGTCACTTTAAAATATAATTGAAATTTGCAAAAGCAGATTTAAGCCGATCATTTCTTCATAACCTTTCCAAAATTTCTCATCCAATTTTTAAATAAAAAAAAAAAATGAAATTAAATTATACTAAAGGTCTTGAAGGAGCGGTGATCATAAATTATACTGATCTTTTAAATAATGTTGATTTATTTGATGCTGTCGAGGTAAATTAATATAATATTAAAATCTTATCATCATAAGAAATTTATCGTAACAAGGTCAAATCCTTAGGAAGCATTCGGTTCAAAACCACATTGTCTTGGATTATTATTGGTGAAAAATCTTCCTCAATCATATATGAAGAAACGTGCTCGTTTATTACGTTTATCTTCGATTTTCGCTGCCTTACCTGAGGAAGTTAAAGAAAAGGTTGTTGATGAACAAGGTTATTACGTATCTGGGTGGAGTTACGGTAAAGAAGTTTTCGACGGTAAGAAAGGTATGTATCTTATGAAATTTTGTTTTTTTCTTTTTGGATCTTAAATGAGAAACCATGCGAAAATTAATCAAAATCATGAATGTAGATACATCGAAAGGATCGTATTATGGGAATCCGAAATTTGATTTTCCTAACGTGACCGAAGAACAATTGAAAGAGTTTCCAATGTACTGTCGTCCAAATCTTTGGCCAAGGGAAGATCTTCCAGAACTTGAAGTAGCATTTAAAGATTTGGGATGTTTCATCATTGATGTTGGAAAACTCGTTGCTCGCGCGTGTGATTCGTTTGGTTAGTACGTTTGTGCCTTTTTAAATTCGTCGATTTTATTAATCACGAAATGAAAAAAAAACATGCAGTCTCGACTAGGCTATCGAAATCAGAACCGAATTATTTAGAAAGGATCATCGACGAATCACAAACCATCAAGGGTCGACTTTTGCATTATTTTCCTATTAAAGAAACGAATCAAAAGAATGTTTTGAAAGATATTGATGATTCTTGGTGCGGATGGCATGTCGATCACTCATCGCTTACAGGTAGGTAAATTCACGTATGAAAGATACGTGAGATTTCGGGTGCCCGTTCTTTGCTAAATAAGATTTATTCAGGTTTGACATCAGCGATGTATGTTGATGAACGTGATCCTACCTACACTGAAATCGAATGTCCAGACAAACGAGCAGGGCTTTACATTAAAAATCGTCATAATGAGATTATCAAAACTTCAATACCAAAAGATTGTTTAGCCTTTCAACTTGGTGCGGCCATGCAATTAGCTTCAGCTGAAAATCTTCGAGCGACCCCTCACATGGTTATGGGTATTACTCCTGATTTACAAAGTGATGTCCCGCTTAATTTTATAGCTAGAAATACTTTTGCAGTGTTCATGCAACCATCCTTGGAAGAAAAGGTAGGAGATATCACCTTTGCCGAATTTGGTCGAAACGTCATAAAAACCAACGTTTAATAACACCAAGAAGTTATATTAGCAAATTGTTCTTTTATTTTTCTTCCTTGCTCTTTACTCTTTTTTTTTTTTTTTTTTAAAAAAAAAAAATAATAATAATAAATAAAATAAAGTATAAACGTTCAAATGATTTTAAATCCATCTCAACAGTTATATTGATCTCCATTAAAATTGACAACTTTGACACCACTATCTTTGAATTGAGTTAATAAATTTTGATTTAATGGTTTAAAATAGTTTGTATACACAGCATAATCTACATATCTTGCAAGACCCAAATATTTCAAACAACTTTTTTTCGTAGCATAATTCAGAATTATATTTAATAGATCAGTATTAATTTCAAATCTAAAATCCAAGGATACAAAAGAACAATTCGACTTGTTTAAAATATTATTTAATTCATGTTTAAATATAGTTTGATAAGTATTAAAGGTAAGATGCTTTGTCGTGCTGGGTAAATAACCCGCCAATTCTGATAAAATTCTTACAACATTATGAGAATGATCGATCAAGAGTAATGAATTAATGATGAGATGTTCAAATTTCATTCTTTCAATTTTTTGTAAAAGTTCTAAATTAATTTCAAATAAATCCAATTTAATCGTTTTAACGTTTGAACAATGATTTAAAACTTGTTCCATTATTGAGTTGGTCATACTTGTAATCGTTAACCTTTCGATTGAAGGACCTCCCACCGAACTAATAAATGATGCTGTTAAATGATGATTCCACTTGTTTACCGCTAAAGACAACTCTTTCAACTTTTGAAAGGATTCATTCGACAATCTCTTACAATAATCCAGAGTTAAACCATCACAATGATCTATCGTTAATTTGGATAGATTGACACATTTTGTTAAACTTTCGATTATTTTGTCGTTGATTCTGGTGAAGCTTAATCCGATACACGTCAAGGAATTGTAGGATTTTAATGATGATAAAACGTTGGAATACATGTCAGTCATTAAGTAGATCCTATTTAAATCATCTTGCCGTTGAATTATATTAAATAATAAAGGTGATAGATTGATGTGTTTAAATGGATTATTTAAGTTGATCCTAAACTCATTAAATCGTGAACAATTATTTGACATGAATTCCAAGAATTCAAAAAACTTTTTCGTGCAAAAATTTTCTATTTCATTGGTGATGGCAAGTTGAAAGGAAGGTATCTTGACCAATTTCTTTAAAATTTCACCAAAGAAATCCAAATCCATGAAGTCGGATCGAAAGAATGTTGATTTGACATCCAACACCACGAGTTTTTCACTTTGCCTCAAGAACAGATGTACGAGAGCTTCTTGAAATCTCAACCGATGTTCTTTGTTCATTAGAAATATCTTTCCGGATTGAGATTGTGATATATACTTTTGCTTATGATTGATTCCCTCGGTTTCGTATATAAGAAAATTATTGGTTGCTGCGGTTAATTCCTTAACGGAATACCTTTCCAGATATTTTGCATATGGAAAGATTGTGCTCGACTCTTTTGGTAGTAATCTGTCCGGTTGATTTAAATGTTCTCTCTCTTCAGCATCCATACATTTAAGATACGTTTGGATTAATAATCGATGATATAAATGATCACTAGGCTGGTTAAATGGATCTCTGTAAAGGAAAGGAACTGCTATTTGACACAAGGTTCGATTGACGAATAAACAATTATATAGAGTAGGTCGATTATCGTCCAATTTTTGTAAAATTTCATAAATAACATCATCATGCAAAGAAATCGATGACATTTTTTTTGATTTTTTTTTGATTTTTTTGATGGGAAAAGCGGTGTGATTATATACTGTTTCACAGCAGATTATCATGTGACAGAAACTCCGAATTTGGGCATGAAAAAATATATCGTTTTGCGTAACGGATAAATTCATGGGTAAATTTATTTTGGTCTTTATTCAACAAAAAAATTTTCGATTCTAAAACCATTGTGACATTTTTTTGTTATTATTAATAGAGGTCCAAAAAATAATTTTGATTACTCAAAGTACCAATTAAAAAAACTTTTGTAATACAGTAAATAAAAATTAAAAGGATACAGAAGTCACACTAAATATTTAAGTGAACCTAAAAAATTTTGCTCATATCTAAAATCTCCAAAAGTTTCCCCGTTTCTCCCAAATTTCATTTAATACGAACGTACCAAAAGATTATTTATCCCGGCATTTGTTATTATGAAAGATCTATTACTAGTACTAGATTCAGAATTGCAGATTATTGTTTTCTATTGTTCAAAATGCTCGTACAATGCAAGCAATATTTGGTTACAAGGTTTCGGGGAAGTGGTTCCATTCAAAAAACAATGATTTTTAATTGTTTCACAAACTTATGATCAAATAAAAGAAGGTTTATGTTTCTAATAATAAAATTTTATAGGTCGCCATCAAAATTTTATAACGTGGTAAAACATAATAAAAAGATTGAAATTTTCCTTTTTTCCTTTTTTCATTTTATTATTATTTTTTTTTTTAAGAACACATCAGTTACGAATTCCTTTGTTCGTTCATAAAGAGGAAAATAAGCAAGGCGATGTCTGCAAACGAAGAAATTGTAAAGCCTTCCAGATTATCCGGTGAGGGGATGATTACTCCCAAGAATCATAATTCGTCTACCGTAATACAAATTGATGAGAAGGATGAAAAAGAAGTTCAAGAGCTCACCAAAGAACTTGATCCAATTCATGAAAAAATTATAAATGATCAAATTCATATTGAAGATGATAAGTCATCTTATTGGCAATTATATTCTTTCGCTACAAAACGTGATTGGATATTAATGGGAATCGGTTTGATTTTTGCCTTCGCTGCTGGTGCTGCTATCGTAAGCAGGAATTAACAAAAGTTCTCTCTCTTTTTTTTCTTTTGTTGTTCGAAATTAAATAATTATCTTTTTAATCTTTATTTATTAGCCTGCGATAGCACCTGTGTTCGAAAAAATGGTCGATTATCTTACTAAATATCAAAATAAGCAAATTACTGAAGAAGAATTCTTGGACAACATTAATTATTTTGTATTATTCTTCGTCTATCTTGCTATACTTGCCCTTGTCTCCAATTATTTCTTAATGGCTTGCTGGGCCGCAACCGGAGAGAGGTGAATTAAACGATTATTTGGTTCGAACTTTATTCTTTGCTTTCTTTGTGCTACTTCAATTTAAAAAAACTTTTTTTTTGCCTTGTTAAAAAAGAATTACTCGAAAAATCCGAGAAAATTATTTACATGCGGTTTTAAGACAAAATATTGCTTATTTTGATAAACTTGGCGCTGGTGAGGTTACGACAAGAATCACAAATGATACTCATTTGATACAAAATGGCATTAGTGAAAAAGTGTCCATGTCATTTTCTGTAAGTTTGAAAATTTGATAAATTTTCTGTTTTACAAGATAAACCACCGATAATTCACCTTTTTTTCTTTTTTTTTTTTTTTTTTTTTTTTGGAACAAATAAGCATTTGGCACAATTTGTAATAGCCTTTGCGATAGCATTTTCAAAAAGTTGGAAAATGACCCTAGTGATTTGTGGGTTGTTCCCTTTAATTACAATAAATGGTAGTATATTTAATAAGTTTATTGCCAAGTATAAAGTAAAAATTCTAGATTATTGTTCCCAAGCCGCTGTTATAGCAGAGGAAACGTTTTCCACAATTAGAACTTCAATTGCATTTTCACAACAAAAAAATCTCTCAAAAAATTACGATGCCAAATTGGAAAAGGCTAAAAGTATTGGGGTCAAAACGAGTGCTTTGAATGGTTTGTGCCTAGGCACGATAAATTTTTTTGTTTATTTAACCTATGCCTTGGCGTTTTGGTACGGTTCAACTTTAATTATTAGTGGGGAGCTAACTCCTGGAACTGTAAGTACTTTATTTATACATACATATAATACATACAGCTAGATATTTCATTAATTACGTAAAAAAAATTTTATCTAGGTAGTTAATGTGTTCTTCTCGGTTCTGATTGGCAGCTATGCTCTCGGAAATGTCATGCCGGATATTGTCTCTTTCAATACTGCACAAGTTGCCGGGAAAAAAATTTTCGAAACGATAAACAGGATTCCTCCAATCGATATTGAATCGAAGGAAGGCAATGAGTTGGATCAAATTGAAGGCCGGATACAATTAAAAAACATTTCGTTTATTTACCCCTCCAGACCTGAGATAAAAACGTTAAAAAATGTATCATTGGATATTGAACCTGGCACTACCGTCGCTCTAGTTGGTTCTTCCGGATCCGGAAAAAGTAATGTTGAACTCATTTAAACTCGTTAACAAGTCCGTTTATTTCTTACATTTTTTTTTTTTTTAGGTACAATTGTATCTCTCATTCTTCGTTTTTATGATCCCATTGAGGGAGAGATTTTAGTCGATGGGCATGATATCAAAGGATTTAATTTAAAATGGCTTCGAAGACAAATGAGTCTTGTAAGTCAAGAACCTGTACTCTTCAACACATCGATTGCGGAAAATGTATCTCATGGGTTAATAGGATCAGCATATGAAAACGTTGATCCAGATAAGAAACACGAAATGATTGTACAAGCGTGTAAAATGGCAAACGCTCATGATTTCATTATGAAATTACCAGATAAATATGAAACGAATGTGGGTGAAAGAGGATTTTTATTATCAGGAGGGCAAAAACAACGCATTGCGATCGCAAGAGCAATTGTTAAAGATCCAAAGATATTATTATTGGATGAAGCTACGAGTGCACTTGATACGAAAAGCGAAGGAATCGTGCAAGACGCTTTAGATAAAGCTTCAAAAAATCGTACGACAGTCGTAATAGCTCATAGATTATCAACAATTCGCAATGCTACAAAAATTGTTGTAATGAGCAATGGTGAAATTGTTGAAACCGGTACTCATAATGAATTAATTCAAGAACAAGAGGGACCTTATTCAAAATTAGTCGCCGCACAAAAAATTCAGCAACAAAATGAAGAGAAGTCTAACAAAGATATTTCCGAAGAAGGAATTGCTCTTTCAAAAGTTATATCGAATAAATCTATTATGTCTACTAAATCCTCTTGTATCGTAAATGAGTTAAATGACATTGAAAAAGGGGCTAATTTAGATTATCAATATACCACTTGGGAATTAATTAAAAAAGTTGCTAAAATCAATCGTCCTGAATGGTATTTGATGATTATGGGATTCTTTGCTTCGATTGTTTCTGGCATGACTTATCCATTATTCGCTTTTATCTATGGAAAAGTTATAAACTCTTTTTCAAAACCTGTGGTTGAATTACGGGAAGATGCAACGTTTTGGTCGCTTATGTTTCGTAAGTTTACAATATACGTATATGGGTTGATTGATAGGAAAATCAGGTTCCGGGAATTTTTTAGCGAAATTGAGATTTTTATTGCATTTTAGTTTTTGATGTTATTAGATTAAAATGTATTAAGCTCTTAATTTTAGTCAAAAATTTCTCGGAACCTGATTTTCCTAGAAACACTCCCATATATATCTCTATTGATTTTTTTTTTTTTTTAAAAAAAAAAAAGAAAGTGCGTCTAAATTAAATTAATTAATTACTTTGTAGTTGTCGTTGCGACCCTTGCTATGTTTGGTACCTTTGTTCAAGGTTTATTTTTTGGCATATCCGGAGAAAAACTTGCCCTTCGAATTCGTTCAATGTCATTCGCAGCGCTGCTACGAAAAGATATTAGTTTCTTTGATGAAGAAAAAAATAATGCCGGTTCTTTGACGAGTGCATTATCAACAAGTGCAACAGAAATTTCCGGACTTGCCGGTGCCACCCTTGGAATTATTCTTCAAATCATTTCCACTCTCATATCGGGAACTATAGTTGCATTGATAATTGGATGGAAACTGGCGCTTATATCGATGACTATGATACCGTTTCTAATGTTGGGCGGTTTTTATCGAATTAAAATGATGTCGGGATTCCAAGCAAAAACCCTAAAGGCACACGAGCGATCCGCACAAGTTGCGTGTGAAGGAACGGCCAATATCCGTACGGTTGCATCACTCACGCGAGAAAATGATATATTGAAATTATATAGTCAAATGCTGGATGAGCCTCTGAAGGAAGGATATAAAAATGCGATTTTTGGAAGTATGACTTTTGCTCTCACATCCTGTACTAATTATCTCGTCGAAGCTATGATATTTTGGTATGGAGCTCATTTGGTATGTAAATTTCTTGTCAAGAGGAATTTTATTTATTTATTTTTTTTTTTTCAAATCAAATTTAATTCCATTCACAACGTTATTTAAAATAATAATAATATATATATTATAGTTTGTATATGGGGAATACAATCTTTTCAAATTCTTTACGGTCTTCATGGCGGGTAAGTGTATATTTATTACGTCAAATCATGAAGTAAAAGCGCTTATCGATCAACTTTTGATCAATTTTAATTGCAGTTATCTTTGGAGCCATATCATCCGGACGTATTTTTGCATATGCAACTAACATAACACGAGCAAAAATTTCGGCAGAATCTTTAATATCATTAATTGAAAGTTTACCAAGTATAGATACATGGTCTCATAATGGAAAGAAAATTGATGTTGCTAAAGGACACATTAAATTTTCAAAAGTTCATTTTAATTATCCTACACGTCCTGATGTACCCGTTCTTCGCGGTCTTAACTTAGAAATCAAACCAGGACAATTCGCAGCATTAGTTGGACCATCGGGATGTGGTAAAAGTACTATTATTGGACTAACCGAAAGATTTTATGATGTATCAAGTGGATCAGTTGAATTAGACGGAAATGATTTAAAAACTTTAAATATTAATAACTTGAGAGAGCATATTTCACTTGTTAGTCAAGAACCTTCTTTATATAATATGACTATAAAGGAAAATATTATCTTTGGGTGTAAACCGAATCAAAAACCCACACAAGAAGATATTGAAAGGGTTTGTAATGAAGCTAATATTCACGAGTTTATCATTAGTTTACCAAATGGATATGATACTCATGTTGGCAATAAAGGAAGTCAATTATCTGGAGGTCAAAAACAAAGGATTGCGATCGCAAGAGCACTAATAAGAAATCCAAAAATTTTATTGTTAGATGAGGCGACATCAGCTTTAGATACTGAATCAGAAAAGATTGTACAAAAAGCTTTAGATAAAGCGTCAGAAGGTCGAACCACATTAGCAATAGCACATAGATTATCAACAATTCAACATGCCGATATTATATTCGTTATAAAAGATGGTAAAGTAGCTGAAGAAGGCACTCATCAAGAATTGTTGGCCAAAAAAGGGATTTATCATATGATGGTACAAGAACAAAAGTAAATAAATAATAATTTAGTAAATGAAAAAAAATTCAACCTAAAATTGTTTTTACAAGGTTTTTTCTTTTATTGGTTGTTTATTTTTTCATACCAAAAGTATTTTTGTATTAAAAATTTTAGTTTTTCTTAATTTAAAAATTTTTTTTTTTAATAAAATTCAGAAAGTCATTTTCTTAAATATGTTAAATTTTTTGAATCAAAGTGAAAGTTTTAAGAGGGTGAAAAAGTGTCAAATTTTTGCGATTTACAATTAACTCTCTATAAATGCATCCCCTTGGGACTAGGTATTTAAAGAGGGTGTGCATTTAAGTATATATATAAATCTATATAAATTAAGTAATACAAAAAATTTATAAGTAATCTATACAAAATTTTTTTATAAAGAGTGCATTTACAGAGAGTATATATATATAAAATGTGTATTTGACACTAAGGTCCAAGTTAGGATCAGATAAAAAGATGTATTTATAAAGGGTGTGCATTTATAGAGAGTTGACTGTATAGAAAAACCTGAAAGAAAAAAAAACCTCATCAGATTCTTATCAATTTATAACAAAATTCAAAATATATATATATATATATACTTTTACTTGTGACAAGTTAAAAAAAGTTCAATGAAAAACGCTAAAGAAATAAAATTTAAACAAAATGATAAACTTTTACCATACCTATAGATACTTCTAAACTTGATTATCCTATATGTAAATATTCGTAAAAAAAAATTATTTGAAATGAAAGATGATATATTTATCACAATAGGTAATAGATAGTGCTAGATCGAAGAACAATTTTATTTATTACACATTCTTGATTGGCTTCTAAACAAATAATTTACCCATCTTTGTATTCTGATGGATTTATCTTTTATGATAAGCCTAATATTTGGAAATTCGAGAGTATACACCTCATTCTCAAAAATAATAAAGGTAACTACAAAGATGTCAAAAAAATATAATCATTGCTCTGAATTATTTTTAGCAGTTGTACTATACTGAATAGTATATATATTAATACACATATGCTTTGTAAGTTTAAAAAAAAAAATTATTAAATGGTCACTCATATTTCAAAAGTTTTGTATCAAGATTGTCTATTATTTAGCTCTGTTAAAAATTTTTTAATTTAAAAGCTAAGCTTACTGTGATGTAATCTTTAAGCAATATCTTACTGTAAATTAATATTTGTATATTCACTAGTATATTGATCTGATTCACAGTCTGTTTCTTATTGAACTTTTCAATATGTTCCTTTTTTTCTCAAAGTATTGCATAATAAAGCGAATGATAAAAATTTATTTTTGCTATTTAAGGCTATTATATTTATTATTAAGAAAATTATTTCTGAAATGCATTATTATTTTACATTCATATTGAGTAAAATATATGTATATCTTTTACATAACTTTCATAATAACTGCGCTAAATCACATGATCAATTCGAAAAACAAAAGGCCAGAAAATTTTATTAAAAAAAATTTAATAGGGAATGTGTTTTCTATTTTTCTCAATTATAAATCTTTTCTTAATTGAACCAGATAGACTTTTAATAATATCCTGTGGAATTTTTGACCATTTCTTCTTCATAAAATTTTCTAAATCCCTAATATTTTATGACTGCTGCATCTTTTAACAATTACCTATAAATTTTCTATAGGGCTCAAATCAGAATTATTAAATAACCAGTATATGACAATTGGAATTTTTTTGCAACAAATCTTTAGCTAAGTGGCTAAGATTGTTATCCTACTAAAGATACTAATTATTACATAGCATCTTCTTGAACTCAGGAAGATGTTTCTTTATTATTTCAATATAGTATATTCTTTTAAAAGTAGTAAAGATTGGATTTACCCTAATTACAAAATCCATCCTATGCGTTGATTCTTGTCTAATTTTTTAGAATGTGACAAATTGGCTGTTAATCTTTATACAATATTACAAAAAGGTATTTTATTTCAGTAATCATTTATATAGTTTTGGGTATACATTTCTGCTTTATAACCTTGTAAGCAATGGGTCACTTCTTATCATAGCCAAGGTTAGTTAAATATCGCAAAACTGTAATATAGGATACATTTATACTTTTTAGTAACAATTTAGACGCTAATTTTCTAAAAGAAACTACTAGATTTCTTCTAATATACTATCCAAAAGCTTTGAGTAATATGAAGTAATTTTTGGGATGACTACTTCATGTTTTTTTTCAATTTACCAAGTTGAAATATATTGTGACCTTTTATTTGTTATCTTATTTCAGCTGCATTTGTAATCTCAGAATTTTATAAAATATTAAATGGATTAAGCCTATGCAGTCTTGTTATCAGTTTTTATTTCATTGCTAAATTAAAATTTTTTTTGTTTCTGTAACTATTAATTTTATCATTAGGCCTATTCAAATATCTAACAAAAAACTAATGCATATGATGCAAACTTGAAAATTGAATTTTGATTGGCTAATTTTAAATGCATCAAAAAAAGCATCCATCAGAATTAAAACATCTATATATATACTCCTCAGTTAAAAGTATTGAACACGTGCTTTTTGATATTCAAATTGATGTAATCTATTGATCATAACTTTTGATAAAATGTATAAAAATGAAATAAATTTTTTTCTTACATAGTTAAAAGCTTTAATATTTGAATATAAATATATTTTTTAATGCTAAAAATCTAAGAATTTATTGAATTTGAATAAGGTGAAAAAATTAGCCTCTGGAAAGATATTTACAGTAAACGAAATATTATAGATATTTTTGTCTATTCTATCTCATTTTTTATTATTTTAAAATGATGTTCATTATTGAATTTAGTATTATTTTCATGAAATTTATGATATTAATTATTTAATTTCTACTGTAAATTTAGAAAAATAAAATATAATAATATAAAGGTATTTTATAAAAAATAATGTTAAAGTTTTAATTCAAGTTTCTGGTAAATTGTAAGTTTAAAATAATAATGTTTTACCTTTACTGATAAGTTGGGAACTGAGTTAAAATTTATTTTTTAAGACAAAATGCATTTGTTTATTGGGTAAAGCAATTAAGCAATATATAGAAAATATGGTAATTCAATCTCAAATATTTTATGGTCTGTATAACCTCCTGACTTAAATACAATTGAATATCTAAAGAATGTTTTGAATATAAAACTTTATAAATATAACTATATTTAAAAATTCTTGGGAAATTATTGGTTATTTTTAAGGAAAAATTGAAATGAAATTGAAAGACATTTTAGAAAATTTAATATAAAGTATGTTGAGAAAGGTTTAAGCTGTGATAGATAGTAATATTTATCTAACTAAATACTAATTATTTTTATAAAAAGTATGTTTTTATAAATAAAATAAAAAAATTTTTATGTAAAATTACTTATTAAAATTTTTTATAATTAAAAAATTAAAGTTAGCTATTAAATTTAAAAATTGTGATAATTTTAAAGTAGTTTAATACTTTTGACTGAAGAGTGTACATATCATTCAAACCACTGATTTTTAAGATAAAATGATTAATTTAGAAATAAGCTCAACCATTCTCTGCTAGTCAGAATTTCTAATAATAAAAAAAAATTAAATTGTTAAATTCAAATAAATGATTTGTTTAATCTACCCTAAATAAAGCTATGCAATGTCTAAGAGAAATAGTTATATCTGATCAAGATTCAAGCATTTTATAATTTTGAATAATATTTAATGAATGATTCTTATTACAAATAAATACTACATGAAGTATTTAAATGAATATTAATAAATAACAATCATGTTAATAGATTTTATTCTTTTATTCTTAAACAAGGTATTTCTCTCAACTTTTTTTTAAAAAAAATCTCATTCATTTTCAATAAGTTATAGTTACTTTCATTTTTGATATGTCAGAGCTAAATAGGGAAGAGAAATTATCAAAAAATTATTAGATATTCGTCTTTTTATCAATTACTAATGCAACCAATCTTAAATTTTGACTTAAACTTTAATAAATAACTTATTATATAATATTCTTAACTAAAAGATTAAAAAATAATGTGATCAAAAAAAATGAAAAAAAAGGATCAAAGAATATTTAATACTCATAATTATCAAATTAACAATAAAAAAAAGTCATTCTACCATAAATTTTAATTTTTTTTGAATCTGTAGAATATAATTATAATAAAGAAAATGAATAAGTTAAAGAGAGTATTGGAAAGTAAAGAACTGAAAATAAAATAAAACTCACTAATGTAAACAATAGTGTGTTCAAAAGTTATATTTATTTTCTCAAAATAAAGGTGTATGAAAAGAGAAAAACTAACTACTCAATAGAAACTTTCATGTATAAGGTAAACACTTCTAAGAGGATAGATAGACAAATCCTAGGAAGCATCTGTATCCAAATATTAAATCATCATTCTTAGCTAAATATAAAGGATATCACCAGAAAATGCTTCTCCTTTTTGAAGCCAAAACCTTTACTAATCAGATTATTAATAAAAAGTAGTTTAAGAAATATAAATACGATCAGACAGTCAAAAACTAAAGGAAAGTAAACATTATTTAACCCATACAATGGCAGTTTCACACTTTTTATATTTTGAAATAAACATTAAGAATTTACTATCTATCGCTAAAACACTTGCCTATTAGAATGATATAAAAAAAAGAAAAATGTTTGATTCAAAATCTAAATATTTATCAAACTAATAAGGAATTCATATTTAAGACAGTTAGATGTCAGATCTTAAGAGTTAATATATTAAAGAAATGATTTTGTAGAGATATTGCTATCAATACGCTATAGTACTAGGATAATACCTATCTATAAAAATGAACATCCTGGGTATTGAACTTCTAGGTTAAGCAATATTTTGTGAATATTATTGAGCTTATAATCAGAATAAAATCTATTATTTATATAACAAATACCTTAATAAAGTGCAAAAATATGAAAATAGCACGTACAAATATATATTTTAATAGTGAAAAGAGTTCAAATAGTATAGTTCTACTAATATTTTTATTAAAATAATAAAAAAAGCAAATGTTAAATTAGTAATCTAAGTATTATTAAAAAGTAAGGAATTCGTACTTAAAGCAGTTAGGAGTCAGATCTTAAGAGTCAATGTATTAAAAAAACGAACTTGTAAAGATAATTTCTTATTAATATGCTATAGTACTAAGATAATATTATCTATAGAAATGAACATCCTGGATATCGAACCTCTAGGTTAAGCAATATTTTATGAATATTGTTGAGCTCATAACTAAAATAAAAAACCACTATTTATATAACAAATACCTTGATAAAGTGTGAAAAATATGGAAATAGTTCGTACAAATATATACTTTAATAGTGAAAATAGTTTAAATTGCATAGTTCTACCGGTATTTCTATTAGAATGATAAAAAAAAAGCAAATGTTAAATTAGTAATCTAAGTAATATTAAAAAGTAAGAAATTCGTACTTAGGAAGGTTAGAAATCAGATCTTAAGAGTCAATGTATTAAAGAAATGACCTTGTAAAGATATTACTATCAATACGCTATCGCACTGGAATAATACTTATCTATAGAAATGAACATCCTGGATATATCAAACCGGTAGGTCAAACAATATTTCGCAAATATTGTTGAGCTCGTAACCAGAATGGAAAACCACTACTAATACAACAAATACCTTGTCTAAAAACACGAAAATGTGAAAAAACTGCATTCGAAAAGTTTCAGCAAAAGATAGAAAGTTGTTTGGAGTTTGATAATTAATTTAGGTATGAGGAGTATGTGGATTTACTGTTTCTTTTATAATAAAAAAAATGATGTAAGATCAGTGTAATAATTAATATATTTTTGATCTATCACATATTTATTATTACTTAAAAAAGCAAGTATTAGTGAGTCATCAATGAAGAGATTCATGAAAATTATGTTGTAGCGAAACGTTCTATATAGATTTGATCGCTAAAGAAAAAAATAAGAGTTAAACAAGTAGATAAAGTTATCTTTTTCTTCCAAGAGCAACAATATTGATATTCATCAGGTTAGTCACATGTCTATTTATATATATGAAATTATGTGTTTTCATTTGTTCCTCTCAATAACGAGTTTTATTGTTATATCACTTTATAAATTGGTCGGGTATCCTTGAAGAAGCTTTCCTACAGTATATTTGGACGTTACACGCAAAAGAATATACTGAAAGAGACAACATTTCACCAAAGAAATTGAGGAACTAGTAATTGATTATAACATACCAAAATAACAAGAGTGCGACAGTCCAAAGAATCCGAATACAATAATCATTCAAAGGAAGCTTTGAGACACCAAGTTTATACTCCGTGTGACTATAGATAAAGCACGCGTCCTTGGACGATAGTGACGTTTTACACAGGAAGCTATGACCGATACTGGAGAAAAGATGACATTGGGTGATTACAGAGCATCGATATTCTTTTGCAGATGAGTGATGATGGTAAACTTTGTTGCATAATTGTTTCATAATGCAAATGATAGAATGACAAAGAGAGAACAATATAAATTGAGGAAATTAGCACTTAATTCATCAAGTTTATCAAAATCGAACGAAAAAACATGTATATTCTTTAACATTTCTTTCTATAGAATAATAGTTGGGATAGTATTTTCATACGATTTTTTATTTGATATTACTAATTTCTATATATGTAATATTTTCATGCAATTTTTATAATCTTTGACAAAAAAAAACTCCCCTTTGCGTTGCGTGATCATTTACTTTGTCGCATCATTTATAGCTCCAAAATTTTCAGATCTACGAAAATTCTTTAAATGTTTTTAATATCGATATTTCCTTTAAAAAAAAAAAAAAAAAAAAAAAAAAAAAAAAAAATTATACAGAAATATATATATATCTTTTATTTCTTTTGAGATATTACAGATGGATCGAATAAATGATTCGGCTTTCATTGTTTTAAGAATGACCCTATCATTCATTCATATTTTTTAGAGAATTATGTACCGTAATTATCGAAATTATGCTTCGGACTAGAATGGTTCCCATTCCCTAGTTATAAAAATTATTGACAATTATATTAATAAATTTAGTAATTTATATGGGAATTTAATAATAAATGTAATAAACCTCTCCTCTATTGAAATGATTCATTTGTTAATATTACTGATATTTTTGGTTGTTCCCAATATCACACATGTTACTAAATAGCCAAAAGGAATTTTCATTTGAAAAAAAACTGTGATTCCAGAATAATAATAATAATAATAATTTCTCAGATAAAGTTAGAAATTATAAATGCGTACTAGAAAGTTCGAACAATTTGATTTAAAATTGTGCGACTTTGTTATCAGTGATCATTCATTTAAAGAGTCGTATCCGATTTCATTTTTCTCATTTAGGATTTTTACAAACGTAGAATTACTTCTATTCTCTTGAAGAACTGTATTCTGTAGAAGAGAATATGACAAACCTTCTTGGGAAGTTCGTGACTATATTTCTAAAGAACGTACAGCTTTCTCACAATCTATCTATCTAAATTTTGGAATGGGTAGCAAAAATAAGGATTTAGTAAAATAGACAGAATGATTAACCGAAAAGAGAGTATTTGTTATTTAAATAAATTACTAGTGATTAGAACTAGAGAATTATTTATTAGCCAGTTACAGCTAATTTAAGGACAGCTGATAATATCTGAGAGAAGGATTTACCACATATTTATATGGGTAAAAAAATTGTGTCGCTATACTCTGAAACTGATTCAAACGTAGCGATAATTTTTTTCTTCAAAAAAATTCACTAATAATTACATAATTATAAATTTTCTTTAGAATTACCCCATCAATGTTTAAAAAATTCCAATGAAAAATTCTCATTAATTATTTCAAATCACAATTTGCTTGCAGGGAATATATTATAATCCTTACACGTAATGTACTTTTTTGTAAGCCAATAATTAGCAAACCTATATTTTAAATTCCTTTAATTTCAATGAATTTCATTGGTTCCAAAATAATATAACCTGTAACATCACACGTTTCCGCCTTTTCCCTCAAAGTATGATTTTAAGCCTTGAATCTATCCTGTCATAACCTGATAATTTAAAATATTCATTAATTCTCGAACTCTGAGAGAAATGTTCAGTGAGAAATTTAAATATAACATTAGCATTTCTCTTTATTTACTATACTTTAATCTATCGTTCAGTCATCATCTAATTTTTTGCGAAACGTTACATGTCGCGTATGATCAAATAGCCACTGTGTTGTTGGTTTTTTTTTTTTTATCTTCCCAAAGAGAACTTTCAAACTTTTTTTTTTATTTACTCCCATATGATTTTCCAAGAAAATATGAAACAGAAATTTCTAGAAAAGTATTATATGATTTTATTTCCGAAATATGTAAAATAAAAAATTTATATACATATACATGCAAAACAAATATTTTGTTATTAAGTTTCTATTTCGTTGGTTTCAATAACTTTTCGACTAAACCATTAACAAATTTTAGGGGGTAAAATTTTACTGTGATTATATAAGGGTAAATTTCGTATATTTATTAATATTTATTATAATATCGGGCCTTGTAAATGGTGTGATTATATTTTATAATATGACTGTGATTATAAAGAGGGTATTTTCTATTTAAAAAGATCGGGATTAAATGAAATGCGACTAAAGTGAGGGAGTGATTATATAGGAGATATAAATAGAATATTAAATGTCTCATTTTGTGAATCATCCAGTAAAAATTATTATCAAGGTTCACAAATTAAAATTTTTCTCATTTTAAAGATTTAAAAGACAAATTGAGAGTAAATCATAACATTTTGCGTCTCGTTTCACTATTGAAAAATTAGTAACGAAGAAGGAATCTAAGAATGTTTAGATTTACCCCTTAATTCAAGGATAGAATAACAAATAATATCTTTTACATTTTAAAACTTTTAAAATTTTTTTTGTTCCGAGTTAAATTTTAATTTTTACAATACAAGTGAATAAAGGTCGTGAATTCTTAAATACCGTGCTAAGTAAATTTTGATGGTTGAATCTCAATCATAAGTAACCCTTCATTACTTTTTGCCACTTTCTGGAGAAGACGCAAAAAAAAAAAAAATAAAATAAAAGCATTTTGATGTTCAAAGAGAAGTTTCTTTCAAATATACTAAATTTTCATTTTACATATTTGATTTAAACCTTAAAATATTTGGTATTACAAATTAGTAAACAATATTAATGATCTTACAAGAACAATGATCGTTGAATTATCAGAAAAAAAACAAAGAGGGGTATTTTTTTTTTTTTTTATCTATTGTTTATATCATAAATAAACTAGGAATGGAAACGTTATTTATCAATCTTGTCGTAAAATACTCATTTTAAAAAAAATCGTAATGTCTGGTTAAATTTCCAGATACTGTCAAATTCTAGATAATCAAAATAGAAAAAAAAAAAGAAAATCTCAAGAGAATAACAACCGTATAAATTCCAAAAAAAAATAAATAAATTTATATTCTCTGTTTTTAATCATAAATTGTATACTGTGACGTGGGCGATCATATGTCTAACCTTTCTCTTTTTGTTATTATTTGTGATTTATCGGTCTAACTTCATTAACTATAGTTGAGGATTCTTTTCGATTTGGAGCATTTACAAATACACTTTCAGTAAAAGAAAGAACGACATCAAACTTTTGGTCGTTGGAAAATGGGTTATAAATATATAAACACCACGTTTCAAGAATCATCGGTGGTGCTTCTTTCCCGCAAGAATATGATACACCTAAAAATTCATCATTAGGGCCGGTGTCTCCACATTGCGATGCGATAGTATAAGCAGTTCCGTTAGAGACCCTAGAAATAAATCCTTTTCCATATTTTCCGTAAAAACTATTTCCAACTTGAGGATCCGTAAAATACTTATATTTGCCACCATAATCTATTGGATCTACTTGTGCGTATGTAGTAGCTAATTTTATGGCGTAACCTAAAAAGAAAATTTGTCAATTACGTTGAGTGTGATAATGAAAATTGAAAATATTTCAATACGTACTAACATATTCGTTTGGCATTGTATTGCATTTGAACCATAACCCATACTTAGGGACCTTAACGGTATGGAAATCAAGCTTTGTTGGTGGAAGTTCTTGAGCAGAGGCAAAAAGCGTCTAATTTTTATTAAAAAATTGTTAAAGCTTACGATAAAAAAAAAAATGATGATGAAAAGATATTTCAAAATAAAGATGTACCTGCAACAAGACGAATGCAATAATCATAAAAGTTTTCATTTTCAAAGTTTTTTTTTTTTTTATTTTGTTTTCGTTAATTTTTTTCGTTTCGTTTAGGTTTTATTTTATTTATTTATTTATTTATTTTTTTGCGATTTTATAAAAAAATCTGAAGAAAAAAAAAGCTCTCGGATTTTTACCATTTTTATAACAAAATTCAAGGTAATAAAGTTTTACTCGTGTTTCTCTTTCTCTTGATAAACCAAAGTACGAAAAACGCCAAAAAACTTTAATTGAAAAAAAAATTTTTTTTTTTTTTTTTGTCACAGAGATTATTTTTAGAATTATAAACAATTTGTGATGATGATTATTCTTGAATTTTCGTCCCAAACGATCAACAAAAATAGTGGGGTTTATTTTATTTTATTTTTTATTACACGAAACGCGCGGAAAAAGCATATCGCGTATAAGGTCATTTGTTATACTTCCAATGGAAAAAATCAAATACATCATGTGTTTTATTTGTCAGCCCTGAAAAGGAACAGATTAGACAAAAATTTGAATTTTACCATAAAAGGCAATAAAATAAAGAATAATATAAAATTTTCTTATCTAACATAAATATTATAGCTTATGATCACGGAAGTTTCTTTTTTTAAACTATGTACTCGCGGTACACAACCTGAATTATCAATGGTTTGCACAGTTATACAGAGGAAAGTTTGTTGATGAGATTAATTGGAAAATTCCATAGAACTCTCGAGACTCGATATTGTCTAATTTACCGTATTTTTCTATATTAAAGTCATATTTTCATATTAAAGAAATGATTTGGATTCCTTTAACGACGATAATGATTGAACAAGTGGTATTATAACATTTATTTGTTCATAACTAAATTCTTTCTGTGTTAAAATTTCACGTAAAAATAATTAATTATTGATGGTGCATCTCTATCACACTCTAATAATGTTATATGGAGTTACCAAAATCACATTCGCAACCAATTTGATAAAATCATACAAGCTTCTTACTAATACTAGGTTATTAAAATATTTTTATAAATTTCTTTTTCGAAATGAATATAAAAATGCATTCATGATTTGTGAATTCCGATCAAATGCATAAGATTAACTGCCTGGTTAGAAAGATTTATTACAAATTTGAAAATAATTAATTTAATTTTCTTAAGATTCAATTTATGTTTAACAAAAAAAAAATTGGATATAAATAATATATATATATATAATGGGAAAGTAGTGATAAATTGCGCAATAGAATAAGCGATACCCATTGTAGTTGTCTAAAATAAAAAAATATAAAGGTAAAAATAATGTGTATATGTCTTTTTTTTTTTTTTTTTAAAAAAAAAAAATAGAGTTTAGATTCGCCAAACTTTACCATGAGGGTCCGCCACCGAATTCAAAGGATGGTCTCCCATTCGACTGTAACGTTGAAAACGAATTTATTAAATTTCATCATTCAAGGTCTCAAACTTTCTTAAGGAACATAATTACCAAGTGCCCATTTGATGAGCGGTTCCGATGAAAGTCCTATTCTCGGTCAATCCAATATCTTCAACCTTTTCCAAATATTTCAAAAAAGATGATTCTTCAACGTTGCCCAATTCATTAACAAAGAAATCTTCAATGCCGGCCTGAGCAGTTCCAACCTGTTTAGCACCAGCAGAAACCAAAATCTTCAAAGACAAGATAATGCCTTGTAATAAGCTATGTTTATCATGTTCACTTAAAATATAATTCAACCTAGTTCTACCCTCTTAGTCAATGAAAATATTACCGCCATCCCTATCCCTCGTAACGACTATTAAGGTTGACAAATTGTTGATCCCTAGCAATAATTGTTTATGATGCAGAGAACCTTTCCAGGGACACGAACCAGCGATATGAGACGGATGTAATACTGGAGTTTCAATTTCTCCGAACATATGCTTGTTAATATTGTCCCATCATAACCTTTAATATCTCTATCCGGAAATATACCATACGTAGTACATGTTGGATGTATATGTAAATTCTTTTAATAATATTGCAGGCGAATGAATCGATCCAGCTGATATTACGACGATTTTCGCCGAAGCGATTAATCTCCTATCCCCTGATACTATGACGTCGACCACACTCGCTTGCCATTTTTGATTAATATTTTCTCAATCCAGTATAAATTTCGCTACTGAATCCCTTGCATTTTGCAAAAATGGCATTAGAGCGATTGCTTCTCTCCGTATTTGCCTATGGGTTAAGGAGAAGAAACAAGAATGAACGAGTGATTCAAGTAAGTGAAGAAAATCAAATAAATAAATCAAACCACTCACATCACAAAAGATTTTTTAAGCTCTCGTGGTTAACTCACTTTGATGGTAATATTTTCCTTTCAAAACACTATTCCCGGCTTTGGCTAATTCAGCCGCCACGAAACCTCCACCTGCTCCGCTACTGATCACGATCACATCGAATTCCAACTCACATCCTTCAGCTGGTATTCCTATGAAATCATAAGTTGGAAATGATTTTGATGTAAACTTTTCTGAATTGATTTCGGGATCGGTGACAGGATACCCAATCGTATTGGTGATTTCCATTGGCGGATTTAACCAAAATGATCCTGTAATTAACAATGCAAAGCTATGATATAGAAACTTGATGAGATGGCCCATGTTTGTTTAACATTCTCTCTCTGCTACCTGGTTAATTCATAGAATGGTTTAAAGTGCCCCGTTAATAAGTACGCTGAAAGGCGAATCGAAAGTAATTTTAATAAGAATCGAAACTGCGTGAAATCCATTCCCTGATTTCATCATCATCTAATTCTGCTATAAATGTTGAAAAGAAGACACTTTTATTTGATCCTCATTAAAATAATCTACTTCACTCATTGTTACCAGATGGGATGATCTTGGTGATGAGGAAATATTTATACTGTATATCTCTTCCCACGACTCGGTCAAAATTTGATCCATGGATCAACCCAACAAAAGTGAAAATTATCTCATGATTTTGAAGTTAGGGTTTCATACCGTGAGGCTGTTAATCTCACAAAATCTTGTCTTGTTAACCTCGTTTTTACAACAAAATTCGTAATAAGCTAGGTTCATGAGATTTTTAGTTTTTGATTAAAATTTAATAAGATCTTAATTTGGTTAAAAAAATTCTCAGGACCTGATTTCCCATATAGTCAGTCATATGCCGAGAGATACTCGGTACATTCGGAAAAACTCAGAATAAAATAAACCACTGTGCTCGGACTAGTGCTTCGAATCTAACGATATATATTTTTTTTGCCTTATTAAATTGTTTTGTATTAAGATTCTCGCCCATGAAATCTCGTTTGCCGTGTTGAATAAGGATTATGATAGAATCCAACATGTTTTCAAACTAGAAACCAACTCCGTTAAGTTCAATACGCTCTGATTATCTCAAATATTAAAATTTTGACTTACGTGGAAACTATGTATTAATGGATCGTTTCTGAAGGTGCAAAGGTTTATAAAGAACGTGAAGATGCATATCAAAATTTGTAATCAACAAGTATGAATTTGCAATGAATGAATTTGAAAAACCATTTTATAGAAGGTAGAGGTCATTTATATAAAATCTTTAATTTCAATACAATCATCAGTAAACAAAAAAATCAAGGAAACATTGTGAAAACATTGCAAAAAGGAAACAATACGAATGAGTGATACATAAATAACGATTCTTTATTTTTTACGATAATAGTAATAAATAATAATCACGTTATATTATTTGGTTTTACGTTATTATTCTTGTTTAGAAAATAGACCACCACCGACACAATGACGAAGATTCCAATCTCATTGTTTTTCAAAGCGCGTATCACATATGTTTGCATGATTCGATTAATGTAGTTGATATAGCCCAGGTATAAATTTCGGCTGTATCAAAACATGTAAAACTGGCGTCTCCAGTTCTGTACATTAACCGTACGTTCTTTTTTAGTATTATATCCATGATTCATATCTTGAACCGAAAGCCGAAAAAAAAAGGAGGGAAATAGCAAAGGTACTCCATTTTATAGGTTTCTATTCTGTTAAAAAATTAAGGTTAAATAATATTAGTAGAAAATTTATAAATGACTTGCGTGATCGTTTATACATTTAACATCAAGGTTGTAAACGTATAATTAATATTAATATATTTCTTCTCTTAACGTTTTTTGTCTTCGCACCAATAGCTGTCATAGCTTTATACCAAGCTCGAAATGCATTAAAATGTGCAAGTCACTTTCGATTCATTTGCCAAACCCTTAGTTTCTTTAATTTGAAATAATAAATCCATGTAAACATATAATAGTAGAGGTTGAAAAGTCAAGAAATGCGAACGAGATAGATAAACATGATTTTGTCTATTGTCATTCGTTCCTTTTCACACGTGAAAAAATATATGTGAAGCACGTGATATAATTTTGGATGTTAACGCAGCAATTGATATTCCTTAAAAACGGGATTTGTTTAATCAAGCAAACTACAAATAGTTAATAGCTTAAATAATTAATAATAATGAAAAAACGTAATAATGAAATAATATTGCCACGAGAATTTTTCATTAATCAGGATTTTTCAGGGATATTTGTCACAAGTAAAATGACACGAGTTTATTGAAGTAATAATTACATAATTTGATTTAAAACATATAAAGGAAAAAAAAAAAAAAAAAAATTTCTCGTTCACACAATACGAAAATTTTCAAACCATCATCAACACAAAAAAAAAAATTATTATTTTTTTCTTTAACGTATAAACAATGTCTGAAGGAGAATCATTATCATTTGTAAAAGATCTTTCTACTTTAACTTACGAAAATGTATCACGAGCGATCCTGACAACTCGAGGATTATATGATAATGTGTATCAATATGGTCGACAAGTCGGTGATCAAGCATATCAAACGACAAGATATTACTGGGATAATTTTCCTCCTTTACGTTGGCTTGCCTATACTTTTATAGTATTTGTTCTCCCTCCGTTAATAATTTTTGCCGGATGGATGGTTCTAACATTCGGTTTCGTATCTGCTATAGCAGGGGCTGGGGTGGTTGTTTCTCAAGGATTTCTGACAACTTGTGGATTTTTCGTGTTTCTTCCCACCGCCGGTTTTCTTATATTTGTTGCTTTTATGATGGCTTGCTTTGCAGTTTTTACTTGGGGAGGAATTCAAACCGCTAACGCAGCTTTGTCAAAATTTGGTCTAATTAGAAGAGGGAATTTTATGGAATTTGCAAAGCAAAGAGCCATTTCTGGCAGGGGTGCACGCCAATCCGATTATGAACATTCACGTAGATGAACGGTTTTCCTCTTTATTGGAGGTCCCCCTTTCTAATGATCACGAATTTAATTCTTGTTTTCACAAATATTATTGTAGAATTTAAATTTCTCAGACATTGAAAATTTTTTTGCTTGTATTCTTAATTTTGTTTGTAATGATTGAATTAATCAAACATTAAAATATTTTTCAATAAAATAAATTTTTTTTTTTTCCAAACTGGGAAAGGGAAATTATTTTCGAGCTTTCTATCGGGTTGCACAAAATAGATTACGAAATATAAATCCGTAAATAATTGATTCACAACATAATGCGATGAGCATGGGAAACCAAAAAATTCCGATTGGATCGCTTTTTCCGATTAAAGGTACCGAGTGTTGGTAATAAACGTAAACCCAAATCAGGAAGTTGAAATGATATCGTGACGAAAAAATCGCGTCAATGTCATTTGCGACGGGCAAAAAAGTATTTTTTTTTCAACCTTATTAGTGTCGCATGCATAAAATGTGATGTTTATATTTTAATTAATTTAAGGATAGGAAAGAAGAAAAAAAAAAAAAAAAAAAAAAAAAAAAAAAGGTTAAACCATTTTTGATGATGGGTTCTTTTTTAAATCTTTCGAGCCCAAAATCGAAAAAATCTCAATTTAGCTTCACGAGTTTGTAATTCTTCAAAGAAATCATCTAATAATTTGGAATATTCTTCGGAAGAGATCCCCATATGCATATAAAATCGTTGAGAATTTTCTTCAAAGTATTCTCTAATATTCTTTCCATGGGATATTCCCGCTTCCCCGCCCAACTTTCCTATCGTTAATGACCTTGAATCATGTTGGATATCTGTCAACTGTTTTGTTGCATTCAATTTTAATTCCAATATGTCCGTTATATTTAAATTATCCACTACGATTCGGTTGACTTTTTTTTAAATAAGAAAAAAAAAAAATAGAAAATGCGTATGTATTATTATCATCCTTGATGGTAATGAAAAGAGAACTTTTCAAATTTAAATAAATCAAACTTACAAGCCTCCAAGAGCCTGGTACCAATAGGTCCCGTGTCCTTCGGAGCCAAATCAGGTTCAACGAATTCAATCCAACCACCGGGTATAGTGACGCTACATTTTTAAGGATTTTAAATTATTCCCGACTACTACTAGTATGATAATAACTTTTTGAAAACCCAAATGCAAAATTCTATTTACCGAATTAATTCTTTTATTGCAACATCCCATTCATGATGAGCGAAAGTCGTCGCAAAATAGCTTAAACGAACGAAATCGAAGAGATTATCTTCAAACGGAAGACATAATATGTCGGCCTGTACGAATTTAATATTTTTCGATATTTGAGTCGGGAAGTGTTGTGGAAATAATCCTACACCCACAAAGTCTGGTTTGTGGTATTCCGCAGACATGTCTTCTAACCATGCACCGAATCCACATCTATATAATTTTTTTTTAAATTTTTTTTTTTAAAAAAAAAAAAAAAGAAATATGAGGAGAAATTTTGAAACCTTACCCAGCATCTAGAATTGCTCCAGAAGATAATAAAATATCCTCAACGGGTGCAGAAAAATTACTTTGCCACAGATATTTTAAGATACCGTGGGGACTCCGAGAATGAGTCGAGCCATCATGTGTAGTAGGTACATTATATTTTATTCGATTCGAAACATCATCATTATTCGTGGTACTTTCTTCGGATGTAGACGCATTAGGTGAATTATTTGACTTATTCATTAACTTTTTTATAAATCCTCTTAAACGAGAGGGTTTATTACCCATTATTGAAGTGGTTATTGAAAAAAAAAAAAGAAATTCCTTTATCTGTGATACAGAATTAGATGAGGTTTGTTTAAAAGGAAAAAAAAAAAAAAAAAAATTAGCTTTTAAGAATATATTTACTGTTTTGAAAACGAAAAAGTAGGAAATGTGCCACATCAATAAAACGAATTCAAATATATTCAATGTTTTTTTTTTTTTTTTTTTTTTTTTAATGAAACAAATTCATATTAGAAATACAAAGGGCCGTGCCTGGACCGCTGAGCTAATAACCGTGAAACAAACACACTGCAAGTAATACAAAGAAGTAATTTAGTTTTTTTTTTTTTTTTTGAATTAACCAAAGTATTCCATTGATTTTTATTGATGGATTTGATTGGTAAATAAATAGAAATTTATTCTCATGGTATTGATGATCGTTGCATCAAAAATGTTGTGAATCACATTTTTAAAGTCGCTTCTTTAACTTAAGAAAAGTTTAATTTAAACATTGACTGGCTGTGTGATCGTTCCCAAATTTACAAAACGGTACATATGAGAACGATTTCTTTTGCATAATCAATTTTTTAGGAGGATGTTCTAACATTCTTGGCATCTCGAGTGATTGTTACGCAAATTTTAAAGTTTTCGGATAGGCTAAATTGGCCATCCAATTTAAAATTTTCACATAATGCATATGTGCATATACCAATCAGAAAATTACGTAAGTTACCGATTGTTGGCGTTTTCGAAAGATTTGGACTTTTGTCAATGCTAAGAAATCATCTAAAATCTTGACGTTCGAACGCGTTTGAGTGAAGTCATTTTTTTTTTTTAAAAAAAAAAAAAAGAAGAAAAAAAAAAACCCGAATATCCAGTAAAAATTAGATAACATGCATATTGTTCTTTGTGATATTTTTAAATGCTTTTTAATTTGTACATAATTTTGATTGCATAATTATTTATTTATTTATTTTGCATCTCAAGATAGCTTTAACCAAGCAATTGCATTTTCCAAGATCGATCTGTTCGGGACGGGCATTCGTTACCGTAAGCCAAGATCCATTATAAGACGAATAATTGTATTTACAACACATTTCGTAAGTATCTGGGTAGGTGCGAAAACCCTATTACGAAGAATAAGGGGTCATGAATCGTAAATGTTGGAAGTTTGAAGTCACATTGAAGCACGAGTCAATTAAATCCGAGAAGGAATTTTTAATTCTTGAATCTTTTGGAAAAAAAAAAAAAAAAAAAAAGATCCATGCGCAATCACTATGCAATGTATGCGTGTTAAATTTTGAAATACAAGTTACTAATAATAAGATTTCATATATCATGTACCTTGTACCAAGTTAATATAATTTGTGTTGAATTTGCCACATGTGTATCTATATGTATTTTTATCGTGTCATGCTTTCACGAATTTTCATGTTTTGGATTACTACCATTCACTATAAAAAGATCAATTTATTCCGTAAATATTCGTAGAACTGGTGTTCAATGAACGATTGAATATCATCGATATCCCACCAATGAAATCAATTCCAAAATGATCCGGCGTGTGACATCTATAATCTATAACGAAATTTCAATGACCCTTTAGATAGTATCTTTGACCTTGTATTGTAAATATTTTCATGTTGTGAGATATATGAGGAACATTAGTATCAGGGTTACAATCATCGAATTCATCGAATTCATCGAACAGACTATGCAGAGTTTAATTAATCATATCGGACTGATTTTGTTGACTTTGAATAATGTTATTGAAAGTACCTGTCCTGTTCAATTATACTGTTTTTTGTTTGTCAAAAATCCTAAATATTGTACAAATTGCGTGCATATGTTTCAAGTGGATTGCGTTCTTTTATTAGAAATGTGATAAGCCCCAATGTGTTCTTTCGGTTCTCTCAATTCAATACTGGTAAAAAAGTAATTTTTAATTACTTTGATTACAATGTTCAAAATTGTATACATACACTAATTGCGATACAAAACTTGTGGATTATGTTATTCTTGTTTGTCTTTAAACCGAGGATTCTTTATCCTGAAAGCAAACAAGGATTATTCTCTAGAAAGTTCTTAATCTGAATAAGAATTACTTTACGGAAATACGAATGTCTGCTTTCCTTTCATTAATGTGGATGAGATCAAAACAAAACCAACAAGGTATTCAATGCTTTTTTACGCGAACCCTTTTTCTCGTTCCCGTGATATATATATTTTTCATGATTAATGATTCCCTTTTTTATTAAATATTTCGTCACTATGGTTAGTTGATATTGATTTCTCATACATATATATATATATACATACTGTTTATAGAATATATACTGTATGTAAATTTTTTTTTTTGAAAAATAAAATAAAAAATCTACAAATTTTAGTGTATTGATTTTTGCACTTTACCAAAAGATCTTTTATATAGTATTACCAAAATTACATCTACTTTTTACATGAATAACACTATATTAGTTTAATACAAAAAGCAGATTTTTAAATTTTAAATGTATATAAAAAATAATTTGAAAAAAAAAAAGCAAAAATCTATCTCTATAATAATATCATAAGTTCAAAATCTAAAACTTAATTTTTATGCATATAGTCAGAACTTTTTTATTCAAATTTACCATACTCATAATCTCTTACATTTCTTGTTTTAAGAACTATGCAATATCTATAAATACTTCCAATTATTAACACAAGAACAGTTAAAGAAGTAAACGGATGATTAAAAATGGATTGCTATATCAAATAAACCAAAAAAAAAAAGGTTAGTGATTGCATTTGTAAGAAATGATTATTTTTAGTAAATTACCTGTATATATACTCCAAATGAAAATATATCCTAATAACAATTTAATTTTAATCGTTAATAATAAAAATAAAAATAATAAAAATAATAAACATTCAAAATTTACCCTAAATATCTTTTCCACAAATCCCAAAGTACTTTTTCCAACTAAATAACCTTTCTTGGCATTATGAATAGATTCTAAGAGTTGTTCTGGATTCGATAAAGTAAGTTTTACTCCTAATCTTGTAGTATCGAAATATTCATTTGACTATTAAAAAACAAATTATTTTTTTACGAATTAGTGGATTCGTCATGATTTTTTCAAAAGATACACAGATATCAAATTTACCACGGGATCAGCAATTAAGACGGTAGGTAAGTCCGATTTTTGTAGTCCATAAACTCCGTAAATATAATCACTCCATCTGGTTCCATCTAACCAAGCGAATATTACCCGTCTTCCATCCTCAGTTCCACCTTCTTCCTTAATCTGTTGATAATATAATTTGGCCGTATTTTTTAAATTCTTTTTTGCCTTAATGAATTGCGTCCCTTCAAATGGTCTTAAAACTCCTAATACAACCAATCTATCACCTCCTAAAATATCCTCATAATTTTCTGAATCCATTGCTGGTACTAGAGGATATTTTTCTGACTGTATCCATCCTTTAAGATTTTCACGGTTTGCAAATGATTCTATGGAAGTATAAGGATAATTCGTTTGAAGTTCATCCTTAAGTACTATCAGAGCTGGAAGTTTATCTACTTTTAATTGTGCGGTAAGGTTGGAATCTTTAGAAGAATAGAATTTCACCGAGAAGAATGATCGAGACAATCCCCTAATCATTTTCTAAATCGAGTAAAAGAAAAAGTCGTCAGATTATTATAATAAAGGATTGCGCATTCAACGAAATTACTTGATATTTACAAGAATGCTAAGAGGTGTCTTATCGTCATAAAGATAAATAAAAAGAACGTCATCCAGTTTCTTGATTCTATCAAGGTCTTTTATACTAATTTCTAATACATGAGCACGAGACGCTTTTTCGGCAAAATCTCTTAGGGTATTTAATTGTCTAGATCCTTTATATTCGATTATATCATCCGGATTTTGCAATCTACGTAAATTTTTAGTTTATATATCAAAAATAATACAAGGAAAGTTTAAAAGGGTAAAATTTAAAATTGAAGGATACAATTTCAACGTTGGATAACCTTGAACTTTAAATCTACCACAAAGGCCTAAATGAAAACGAAAAATAAATTTAGTTCCCTTTGGACTTAAAATAAATAAATAAATTATAGATACATATTTGCTTACCAGAATCAACAGTACAATCGACCTTACCAACATTCACTTTATATTGCAATTCACGTCCCAACTCCTCCCATACGGGTGCCAATTTTTGACAATGTCCACACCAAGGAGCAAAAAATTTTATAAACCAAATTCCGGAACTTGTTAATTGATCAAAATTTTTAGCAGTTAATAATACAACAGTTCCAAATGGATTGACTTTTGCTGGTTCTTCATCGGAAACATTATCATTAACTGTGGAAGGAATATAATATTCATCTGCTTTGGACTTTACATATTTGGTTAATGAATCATAGTCTCTTTTATCACCATCATCATACGAATCAACTCTTTTTCCTTTGCTGAATCTGTTAAACAACATAAAATGTTTTAAAACTAACAATAATTAATTAATTAATTATTATGATTTTAAAGGATAACTTACAGGTGCAATTTAGGATAAGAATGTACATCATTTTTCTCGCAAATATCTGAAATAATTTAGAAATTTAATTAGAAAGGATTTTAAAAAGTTCAAAACTATATATTTTCCCTACCTCCATATAACGTGCAATCAACTTCAGCCATATGAAATTTCTTTGATTTAATATAATTTCTATTGTCATCCGCTACTTTTGACCATATTGGGGCTTATGTAAACAAAATTTTCTTTTTAGTTATCATCATTTAAATTTTCAAATAGATAAATAACAAGCTCTACTGTATACTTACCAAGATCCTGACAATGATGGCACCATGGCACAAAAAATTTTACAAACCTAAGATCAAACCCGAGTTTAGTTTTTGTGTAATTTAACGTTAAAGAATTAATCAAACTTACCAAGTTTCTTCTTTTATAGAACTTTCAAAATTATTGGTATCTAAAGGTATTACTTCAGAGCCTATAGCTCCTGTAATAGTAACAACAAGGATCGTCACAAATAAGATTGATATGTTCATTTTTCGATAATAATTGTATCCTTACATATAAAATAATAGATCGAATTAAGAATTTATTATAACCTTTACGAAAAAAAATGAAAAAAAGGTGATAAAGAATACCTTATTATTTTCAAAATTGCTTAAATATTTAAATTAAACATGTAAAAATTCTTTCGCAAAAAAAAAAAATAAATAAAAAAAATGAATGCTTGAAAAGCCAAGAAATTGTAATAATTTAAATTTTATATTTGATTGCATATCGATGTTGAATAAGGAAATGATTGACGGAGGATTTCATATAAATATTAATCATAATTTCTTTTCTGATTAAAATTTCAATAAATTGAATGTCTAAGTGGCGTAGCAGCTGAAAAGTGATTTATATTATACAACAAATTCTACATTTATTACAATATATTTATTAACGTAATTAAATTTATTTTATCTAATTGTATGAATCACTATGATATTGCGGATAACAGCCAGAGTAAGTGCTAACTTTTGAAAATTAGATTGTGTAAACCGTTTTAACGTTTCATTTATATTATTCGATAGCTTGTATCTACGTCAATTAAAGGTTCGATAAAAGCGAGTTGCAATCAAACTTCACGTCCATTTTTTGTCAAGGGACTTTTTAATGCGCAAACCTTTTCAACACATTGTGCCTCTTCCAAAGTCCTTGAACTTTACAAAAGAATAAAAATGAAAGATCGTTATTATTTGGCGAAAGCAATCACATTAGGTTTGGTAAATGTAATAATTTAAAAAATTCGTCTCATTTGATTTATTAAGAAAAACGTCTACCTTTTTTTTTAATATATAGTTGAATCAACGCGTAAAGATCATAGAGTTGAAGCTCAACAATTACTTTCTTTAATTATGGACGCACAACATGAACGTACCAAAGAAATTGGAGATTCCGCACCAACATTCAGAATAGGCCTATCTGGTCCACCGGGCGTTGGGAAATCAACTTTCATTGAACGATTTGGAATGTATATCCTTTCTCAAGGACATCGTGTGGCCGTTCTTGTATGTTACGGTATTTATAAAGTATATAGAAAATGTTTAATTGAGGATTACATTATTTACTTAGATATAATTAAAGGCTATTGATCCATCTTCATCGAAAACCGGTGGATCAATTTTGGGAGATAAGACAAGAATGCCTGAATTATCGTATCATGATGATGCTTATATTCGTCCTTCTGCAAGTCATGGTACACTTGGTATGTTTATTGGTAACTTCTTTTAATGTTTTTACAATAAAATTTTCCTTAAGATTTATTTTAATGATGCTCATTAAATTTTAGGTGGCGTAAGTTCTTGAGATAATTTTAACAGTTAAATTCAAAATAAAAAGCTGGAAATGGTTTATATACCTATTTTACTATAGGTAGCCCGTAACACGAATGAAGCTATGATCTTATGTGAAGGTAGCGTAAACGAAAAATCATAGCAATTTCTAAATCCTAAATTCTAAAGAATGAAAATTTTTTGAAAATGACAGCCGCTGGGTATGATATATGTCTTATAGAGACAATTGGAGTTGGACAATCAGAAACAATGGTTGCAGAAATGGTTGATATGTAAGTCATTTTTTTCTTGGAAAAATATCATCAATTGAGTAATTTATCGAATTATTCAATCGTTTTCTATAGGTTTGTTTTGATGGTCCCACCAGCAGGAGGGGATGAGATACAGGTAAAGAATTTTTTTTTTACATTTATGTTTTGATTTTTGTTATAACATAATTTTTTTCCATAGGGTTTGAAAAAAGGTATCGTTGAAATTTCTGACCTAATAATTGTCAACAAAGCGGATGGCGTATTCGCTAATGCTGCTAGAGAAGCTTCGGCTGATTATACAAGTGCTTTGAAATATCTTCATCCAAGCACATCTGTATGGAACCCTAAGGTAACAAAAAGAAAGCAAATATTCTACGATACGTCTATAAGGTATATTAATGTCGGATTTGATTCTTATATAGGTTATTAGAGTATCAGCTAAAGCAAACAGTGGATTAGATGAAGCATGGAAACTCATGCAAGAGTATTATCATGCTATGAAGGTAATTCATAATACGTGGAAATTCTATAATTTAAGATATAAAATTTATGTGCATTTTTTTTTCGTAATTAGAGCTCTGGAGAGCTATCTAAAAAAAGAGGGGAACAAAGGAGTTTATGGATGTGGAGACAAATTACGTCAGAACTGTTAGACAGGTATTTACTTAATGCTGAGTAGTTATTCATTATTAAAAGATAGTTGTTGCAATATTAACGTGATCGAATTTGCAGATTAAATTCTGATAAAGAAATTTGTGAACTTGTTGATCAATTAGAACAAAAGGTATTTAATGGTGAAATGACAAGTGGAACTGCGGCCGATCATGTTGTAGATACTTTTACTCGTAAATATAGTGGTGCTAAATAAATTATATTTTCTAATTGGATAAATAATCAAATAATATATATAGATAATTTAATTAAAGTAATATTTCTAGTATATGCAATAATTTAATAATCTTAAACTAATAACAATAACCTTTTATATAAAATAATTAAACATATATAACTTAACAAGAATTTCAGATAATAAGCTTTGAAAAAAGTAAATCCGAGAGCTTTTTGACATTTAAAATATTAATCAAAAAAAAAAAAAAACTAATTTTAGTTTGGTAGCATTTAGTTTGAAGTTTATTTAATAAAATAATTAATTATTTATTTATTTATTTTTTATCATAATTTTTAGTAAAATTTTTAAAATTTTGCAATTTCACAATATTTAATCATCTAAATTTTTATAGTTCAATTTTAACTTTTAATGATAATATTATTATATTAAATATTATCCCTTAGATTTTCTAGCAGGCAAATTTGCCTGCAAACTTAAAAAAATGTATTTTTTTTGATAAAATATTAAATATTAATTTTAGTAATATAATAATTCTATGAAAAATATAGTTTAATATATATTTTATTAATTTTATTAATTTTAAAGTGAATTATATTATTTATTTATATTAAAATAAATTATATAAAATTGCTGAATTGAAACAGAATGCATCAAAATTAATGACATATTATATCACAGAATTTTGTTTAATAACACATAGAATTTGATTTTTATTACTGCAGAAAATTATTATTTCTGATTCAGCTGCTGAATTAAAAGATAATGAAATAATTGAATTAGTAGAAAAAAAATAAATGTGTAAGAAAATATAAAAATATATAAAGCTCTGAATGGTTCAGATTAATCTGAATATTTTTCAGATCAGTTCAGTTCAGATCAGTTTCAGATTACATAAAAATCAATCTGAAAATTTTCAGTTCAGTTTGAATTTTTTTCGAATTATAATTCTAATCTGAACTGAAAAAAAATCTGAACTAAACTGATAATTTCAAATTAATCTGAAAGTTCAATTCAATTATATGTGAAACTCTTAGAGAATTGCAAAATTTGCAAATTCTCTAAGATGATTGCAAAAATTTAGCAAAACTTTTAAAGAATCGCAATTTTTTGTGGTTTCTCTTTGAATTTCACAAAAAAATTGCAAAAATTTTAGAAAATCACAATTTTTTGCGATTTCTCTTAGAATTTTGCAAAAATATCACAAACTTTTAAAAAATTGCAAAAAATTGCGATTTCTCTTCGAATTTCACAAAAAAATTGATAAACCCTTGGAGAATCGCAATTTTTGCGATTTCTCTTAGTATTTCGCAAAACTATTATGAAATTCTTAATAAGAAGCAAAAAATTGCAATTTCTCTTCGAATTTCACAAAAAAATGCAAAAACTTTAGAGAATCACAATTTTTTGCGATTTCTCTTAGAATTTTGCAAAAATATTGCAAAACTCTTAGAGAGTCACAAAAAATTGCAATTTCTTTTCGAATTTTACAAAAAAATTACGAAACCTTTGGAGAATTACAATTTTGCGATTTCTTTTAGTATTTCGCAAAAATATTGTGAAATTCTTAAAGAGAAGCAAAAAATTGCAATTTCTCTTTAAATTTTACAAAAAAATGCGAAAATCTTGGAGAATCACAAATTTTTGCAAATCTCGAAGAGAAATTCATGATTTTTTGCAATTTTCTTAGAGTTTTGCATATAAATTGTGAATTTCTTATATAATTGAACCGTAATTTCAGATTAATCTGAAAATTCTGATTTAGTTCAGATTTTTACCAGTTTGCAATTCGGTTCAGATTTAGATTATCATTTTTAAAATTAATAATCTGAACTGAACTGAACTGAAATTTTTAGTTCAGATACGGATTGGCATCTAATCCAGACTGAACTGCACTATTTAGAGCTTTCAAAATATATAATAAAAAAATCAAATTTAAGGTGATACTTATTTTGTTTTCAAGTTTTTTTTATCAAAAGTTGAGGTGATGCTTAAAAATTATATAATGCTTAAAATTAAAAGGATACAATACTTTAATATTTTTATTTTTTTTATTTTTATTTTTTATAAAATTATTATTATTTAATAAATAATCTAAATAATTAATAATAAAAAATATATTCCTTAAAGTGTAAGTATTAAAACATTTTAGAAAATTTAAAATATTTTGATATCTAATAATTATAAAAAAATAAAATAAAATTTTTAGCTTTATTATATTATAATATATCTAATGGTAATATTTTTAAACTTTTAAAATTTATAATTATTAATATGTATTAATTTTTCAATTTTTTAATTTTTAAAAATAATTTATTATTTAATAATTACAAAATATAAAAGAAAATATATAACTCTTTCTAGTGATCACTCAACCAAAAATTTTTATATAAAAAATATATATATTCAAAGGTGACTACAGCTTAACCTACAAATAAAAAACAAAACTCCCTTTTCAAACTTCTTCTTTTCTTTGTTCTTCTCAAACTTTCTTATTCCAAAAAAATAGTTTTATTGATGTTTTTTTGTTAAAATATTTTTTTCACCATTTTTCATAGCTGTTTTTTTCATTTTTTCTCCTTTTTCTTTTGTTTACAAAATTA